ATGCTTACTAATTTAAAAGTTATAGCATGAAAACTATAACAGCACACAATGGTTATGAGGATGGCCTGAGGACTGAGCCCATGCTGAAAGAGTTAAAATAAATGACTACTAACAGGGCTCTTGCCTTTCAGTTTAAACCTAAGCCAGCTGTTATCTTATCAGTGATGGTCTATTGCTGCTTAATTCATGCATTCAAAAGAAGATCGTCACTTGTGAAAAAATATATTTCTATTTTGTTTTAGAAGCACAGAAAAAATTTCAAAGCCATTCAACTAAACTGATTAATCTGTAAGTAATTCTTTTTTTTTCTTGTGAATCCCTGTCTCCTTTATGTATTGATTTATGTTTATTTGTGTGTGTGTGTATATATATTTCTTTATATTTAACATATTTTTTTTTTATGAACATACATCAATATTTGAGTGTAAAATTATTAAATGGTTACTTCACTTGTATTTCAGATTTACTCCACTGAACACACAAATGGCAGTTTCTCTTCCACACCTGCTACACCGGTCAATTCGCCACCACCTTTCTCAGGTTAGTTTTATCTAGTCCCCTTATGGTTTCTAATCAAGTTTGATGGTTACCCCATTTTTAGTTTTATTATACATAGATTCTTATATAATATATAGAATTTATATGAAGAAAAAAATCATAAACCACTGTCTTATTGAGTCACTGATTGAAATGTATCTCTCAATGAATTTATACTCATTCTGGTTGATAGAGCCAGAGTTCATTCTGATTGGAACTGCATAAATATTTATATCGTTTTAGCATCCGTAAGAAGCTAAGCATCATAACAATATCTGAAATATTCAGTCATATTACATATTACTGTGCTTGTGAAATGTTTACAATTTTAAAGTCAATAACACAAATTGTAAGTTATGGGGAAAAAATATTGGAATTTTCCTGGTGCTATCTCTGTTTATCATTCACCTATATAAACATTAGAATTTAGTACTGGGTACAAGTGTTAGTTGAAGGACTTGTAAAGAGTAGGAAATGCATGTTATTGACTTAGTTCTACCCATTCTCAAGTTATGACTGACTAAGGAATTTCAGTTGCATTGCATATTTAAAAGAAAGTTTATTTTTATGTTTTTTTACTACAGCTTTTAGTCTAAGTAGAGCTTTAGGGAAATTTCATCTAAAGCTGAATGGTCGTTTTTATACAGGTGTGCCACAGTGGTCTCGTAACACTCAGGCTGTTTTTACAGATGGAGCACCACATCATTTGGTGAGTAAGTTGCTAAGAATGTAGAACAATATATGGCTGTTGAATAGACTTCAGATTTTTTTGTAAATATAATATGTGGGTAAGTGTTTTGAAATGATAATCAGACATTTTCTTATTTCTTCAACTTGTTTTTTGTTCTCTGTGATAATAAACTATCTCTTAACGTGACTGGTGTTTTAATATGTTTTCTTGCTAACTTGTTTTCTTTTATTTGTTTAACAATTTTTTTTTATCAAAGTAAAATAGTTTTTGTCAAAAGATTTTATTCTATATATTTCTACAGGTTATACTTAATCTATCTAATCTCATTAAAGCATCCTTATTGTTTAATACTTTTTGCATGCTTATCAGTCCACCCTTTATGTTGTCCATAACTTGTAGACAAATGGTGAGGAAGACAGACTTATTAAAGCCGTTCACTTCCTTAGTGATGAAGTGGAGGTAAAGCTTCACTTTGATTTTTTTTCGTAGCTCATTTCTGTGCTTCCTATGCAACTTCCCTTCAAATTTCTTTGAATTCCTTGTATATTTTAAAAACTGATTTTCAAACTTTAGCACTACCCATTTTTCCATAGACACTCTTAACTAAAAATTTACTTTATTTTTCAAATAGCTGTTTCTTAAAAAACTGATTTAAAGGATTCATTTCTGTTTATATATATTGATATGTAAATCATAAAGAAATATAATTTTTCTCATACAAAACAGCATGATAAATTTCTTTAGTTTTTAAGAATTTTATTGAAACTGTAGAATCTCCAAATGTGTGTTCAGAAGTTATAAGTAGATTATATTTTTTTCATCATCTTCTGCAGTAAAAATAATTCTCCTGTACTTTGATGAATATTTAGTACTTGTTAATTGTTGTATTTTCATTATACTTTCAAAAGAAGCTCACCAGTACTTGACTGTCTATTGAGTGGTTCCAGGTTAAAGTTTTTAATGTCTAAAGTTTCTTTGATTTATAAAACATAATAATTTTCTATAGTCCCATGCTTGAAAATGTTTGACACTTCCACATTCCTTGGTAAACTCTGCTCCTTGAATCAATCAGCTAATCTTCTTGAAGTGGATCCTGTTTATACTCTTGAACACTCAGAACATTTACAGATGTAGATAATGTTCAAGCAGTTTGATTTACTTATTCTCTCTTTAAACAAAAAATAGTTCCTTATTTCTATGTTGCAAAATAAAGTCTTGAGTTGTTTTTTAATTTTCAAATCATGTTTATCAGTGAGCATTAGTGTTATATCATTTAAAGTATCATTTGATAAATTTATGATGGTATAATCAGGATTTCTTGAAAATGATTTGCTCATTTGGTTTTCTTTAAGTTATAGAATTTTTTATCTTGTGTTATTCTTATTTTCAACAAATTATTATTTCTTATAATTTCATTAATAATGAAGACAAAATGTAAAACACTAACACAATTCTTTAATTGTAACATTTCCTCACCTAATAGTTTTTCTAATTTTATAACACTTTTCCTTTAAGTATGATTTAAGCTTCCAAAAACATGTGTTTTGGGTTTCTTTTAATCTAAAGGTGGCAGTCTTAAAATTGAAAAAGAAGACTATAACAATAGGATTCTTGAAATTGTAAATAATATTCCTAAGTTTTGCATTGTAGAAAAAGATCCAATTAAATATATTAAAACAAAGCTAAGTAGATATTTATTGAAATTATAGAAAAATAATATTATATTATGCAAATTATACAAAGAAATAAGACCAGCTGGTTAACATGCTGGTTGGTATTCTTTATGGATTACCAAAATACATAAACGAAATTGCTCAATGAGACCTATCATATCAAATCCTGGATTTTATAACTCTTAAGCTAGCCAAACTTTTTAGTTATGGCTTAAAGGAATTTATATGTAATGAACATACCCTGAAAGACAGCTTTGGGTTTGTTAACAATATCAAAGAGTTAGATTTCGATCATCATGTAATTACTAGTTTTGATGTAGAATCAGTATACTAATATACTATTGGATGAGACCATTGAATTATGTGTAAGTTTGATTTACAATAAGAAATGTAGTTTTGAGAGTATACACAAAGAGGTATTTCAGAAACTGTATGAAATAGTAACAAAGGAATTGTTTAGTGGAAAGGTATATGATCAAATAGATGGGGTCTAGTTTTGTCCCTATATTAGCAAATGGTTTTAATGAAAAGATCTGGTTACAAGAATTTTATGTATAGAAGATATGTGGATGATATATTTGAAAATGAAGATCAGTTGGGCAGATATCTTTGTTAGTTAAATAAAAAACACAGAAATATTAAATTCACTCTAAAAGAAAGACACCTTAGTCATCAAAAAGTGTGAGAAGTTTAAAATTGGAGTCTACCATAAACTTAGGTTTTCAGGTTTATATTTCAACTATAACAGTTATATACTAAAGACATTCCAAGGAACCTTATTAGAATTTTCACATACAGAGCCCATAAATTTACCAGTAATATAAAACTATTCAGAAAAGATGTACAATATCAAATGTTATCTAAGCAAGTATGATTTTTCAGTGAAAGCAATAATCAGCAAAATCAATCAGTAAAGCTTCCGCCTCTAAAGATGAAATGTATAATGTACCAAAAGAGATTCTTTATATAGTGCTAACATTCATGGGTAAATATTTCTTTCAAATAAAAAACAACTCAAAACTATTTTGCATCTGCAAATAGAAAGTCATCCTTAAACCCATTATTAAAATAAGGAATGATTTTGTATTTAAAAGAGGTAAATCAAACTATATCTACATGCATAAATGCTCGAGTTTTCAAGAGCTTATACAGGTTTTATCTCAAGAGTTGCACAGTTTACCAAGGTATGGGGAAGTATCAAACATTCTCAAGTATTTTTAGATTGTAGTGATGCTCCGATAACAATTGAGCAGTTGAAGATCATTTGAAGACTAATTATAATTTTTATTTTAGATGTTTAGCAACTCTTCTGGTAGAAGTTATTACCATCAATTTTTTTGTAAAATGATACTGACCTCAAACTAAACAGGATTTTCATCTTTTGCAGTGTTTTGGTGCACAAGCTTATACCAAATCTCAAAAATAATTTTGAAAGGTTTAAAACTAAAAAATAATTTTGTGTTGTACTTAAAACTGGTGATTCACATTGTTTTGTTTTAAAGTAATTTTTGAATTACCCTTGATTTTATATGATAACCTTTTCATCATTTATGCATTTTGTGAAAAACATATTTTGTTACAACTTTTTTTACAAATAATCTACAGATTTCCTACTTAGCAAAGGAATCACTAACATTGACTAAATACCACCAGGTAGTCAACATTATGTTTATTTTTAAAATATGCAGCAACCTCACACTGATCTTCTGTAAATCCAAAAATTGATAATTAAATAATTATAAAGGGTTATAATGTTTTTATTCAAAACATATCATGATTTCAGTTTGAAATAATTAAGTAGCCAGTTAGCTAGTTTATTTATGTACATTGTTTGAATAGGATAAACATAAAAATAACATTCAATAAAGAATATTTTACAGACACTTATCATACTCACTAAACATTAAACATAACTAAACCTATCTGATTTGATGAATATTTTATTTTATTTAGTAAACACAATAGAAAAAACCTCATGCTTACAAACACTAAAACTCAATGAAATCATAGTATGTCTGTTAAATAGTAAAAACATCATAATTTGAAACAGTCAATCAAACATAAACAAGATATCTGTATTAAGCCTTAAGCAATTTCCAGTCATGTGATTTCCTTCTTTCATGCTGTATATATGTATATTCCTGAATTTAGGTAAATTGCTTGTAATGAAATTTTCTTTGTTACCATTCAACCTGTGTCTAAACTGTTTACCTTATCTCAAGTTAGCTGATGTCTTCTTATTGAAGAAACTTTCAGTAGTTTTCAAAAAGATATAATTTAACACACAAGTAATTTCACAATTCATGAAAAGAACTGAAAATAATGCTTATAGAAACTATAAAAAACTTAAACCTATATATTTGTTGTGCTATTACACAATAGTCTAATTCTTGTTCTATTCAACCATATTTAAACATTCTTTATAGCTGTTTTTAAAGCTGTGTTTCATTAGTAAATGTTCAAACCACTTGATATGGCACCATAATGAGGTTTCAACGAAGGCCTGAACATAAATTAAGGAAAACACTTACAAATCAAGAAATGGATAATATATTCTCAAAGGTTGATAGGTCATTAGTAAAATTAAAGTTGATTTTTGAATAACCATAACTTATTTTATTTAATACTTAGCTAAAGTAAAAACCTAGCATTTTTTGGTATTTTTCAGTTAGCCTGAATTTCAAGTCAAACAACATAAAAATTAGATAACATGAATTTATTTTGTAAATTTAGACTTTTGATAGCTAAAACTTTATCTTTCAAAGTTTGAAACCATTAAGAAATGAATAAGAATAAAACTAGAAAGTCTGTTCAAAAAATAGTGCATTATTGTGTTAATAAAGAACAACAATGTTTAGCTTCACCACACTAGCTGCAAGTAATGTCATTTTTACAATGAAAAGTTAAATGTTAGCTCTGTAACAATGTAACCAAATTTTCAGTATTCTTAATATGAAAGAAGAGACTTCCACGATAATAATATAGTATTCACATTTTTATATTAAAATCAAATAATTGTGATAATTTATAATCGTATTTAGAAAAAAAATATAGCTTTGGTAAACAGGATGCATATTTTGTAAAACATCGTTACTTATACAGTCATACCTCTTTCATTTTCACTTATTTTAGGCATGAACAATACAAAAAAAAATCTTTCTCACGAAAATGTAACATTTAAACAATGGCAAATTGATTATGTAACTATATTTTATTAGAGCTGCAGGTGTCCTACACAATACTAACTTTGATGAAAAAAATCTCTAAAGTCTTGTCTAATCAATTTTGTAACCTGTAATGCTCAAAGACTCTCAAAAAAGGCATAAGCCAAAAACCTTGGGTAGAAAAAAGAAAATATATCATCTTTCTTGAGTATGGTTACATCCTTCATGTAGCAGTGAAAACTAAAACTAATTTGGAAAAATCTCGAAAGTCTAGGCACATTGTTAGAGTGTCTGGAAAAACCAGGACACAGAAATTTACTGTGGCAACATTTAGTTGACATTCATATTTTTTATATTATCCTAGAGATAATCAGTTACTGGCTGAGGCCTTAACTGGATTGTTGTAGACTCCAACTGTGTTGATTTTAGGAAACCTAAAAAAAAAGATTTATGGTAATTAAAGCCAAACCAAATAAAAACAATGACATTTAATGCATCTTTTTGATACTATGTGGTAGTGCAAGGATATTTGGCTGTTTTGTTTTAATTTTGAAAAAATGGAGGAGGGTTATAACCCTTCCTAGATTTGAGCCAACTTGTACAACATTGAATAACATAATTATTATTTTCTGAAAGGAATGGATTGGGGATCAGCCCCTTAAACCCATCCTCTAGATCCACACCTGCTTATACAGTATTGAAGAATAAAGTTTTAACCTTAAAAGAGATGAAGGGGATCAGGCCCCAATAAACCTCCCTCCGCTAGGTATACACCTGCTTATATAGCATTTAATAATACAGTTATTACTTTGAGGAAACAATGGGCTGAGAAAGGGTCAGCCCCACTGCATCCCTTTCCTAAATCTGCACATTCTTATTATTAAAGAATACAGTTATTAATTCCTAAAAAAAATGGAAGTCTAGACCCCTTGGACCCCTACACTTTAATCCATGCCTGTTTATACAACATTTAAATTAGAAACATAACACAATTTAAAAAAAAGGATAAATTTACACTTTGTTTAACCAAAGAGATTGCTGTGGGTGTTGCCAGCTAGTTGCCTTCCCTCTAGTCAACAGTTCAAAATTGATGATGGTAGCAAATAGCCTTAGTCTTAGTAGCTTTGTAATGACAAAAAGATGGCAAGCAAGTTTGGTGGCAATGGGCAATGAACCCAAGACACTCAAATCACAATGTATCCCTACTCGCATATTATGTAGCTTTGCACTTAACAACAACAAACATTATTTCGATTACTTTGGTAGTTGGAATAATCAAAAACAATTTTGAATAATTGATTATTTTGGTGACATAAATCAGTTAATTGTCATTTTGATTAATCAATTAGCTTATGAGACACTAATTGATGTAATCATTGTTCATAGGTAATTGATTAAATTGTCCAGCTCTAGTTGTATTAGGATGAAATTATGAACATTAACTGTAGATTTTATGAACCTTATGGTTCAAGGTGTCTCCTGGTTTGAAAATTTTTATTTTTCCTCCTTTATAAATATCTTTAAAATAGCTATGTTTTTTGTAAATGAATAGTTATTGAGAGAATTATCATGGTTTTTTAAATGCATGCATCACTGAAGTCTCCCTTTATTTAATTCTTTTAGTTTTTAAAAATTAATATATTAAAAGTGTCAGAAATATCTGTGTAGTGCAACATTCTACGTCCTCTTGTATAAGCCAGGAAATTATTATAAGTGGCCATTAAACATATTCATTGTCTACAGATAATAAAATCCCTCTACAGTAAGGGTGATCTGGGTGAGCCTTCCTCGTTATTAGTATATTGTATGTAAATAATTATGAACATTTAACAAAATCTATCCTGAAAAATCATGAAATTCTTCTGTTCTTGCCCAGTTGAAACAAAATGAACATAGGAATGTCTAATTTTTACATACTGTTTTAGTACTTCAGATAACTATATTTCATAAATAGTAACAGAAAGACCCTTCTATAACTTTTTTAATAGACTCGAGGTGTGATGGAAGAACGTCTCGATGATGCCATAAATATTCTAAGAAATCATGCAGAAGGAACAGGGCTTCAGGCATTTGTCCCAGGAGGGGATCTAACAAGTTCTGTTATGTCATTAGCTTCAGCTGCTGGACATGCCAACAGGCTAGTAGGACCCATTGCAGCACATTCTTATCCAGCTTCCCTTGGAAAATCTGCTTTAGAATCCCATGTGGTGACTATCAAGATTATAGATTTTTATTTTGGGAGCTAGCTTGAGTTGGGTTAGCATCATAGGCAGAAAAGACCTGTTGTAGTGGTAAAACTTGATCACAAAGAAATGCAAGTTTTCTATATTTTTTATGAAAATTTTGATATTTAATTCAATTAAGAAAATCACAGATTTTATTTAAATTCTTAAAACTAAATCAATAAAAATTGGATCCATTTCACAGTAGACCTACAGACCATTTGTAAGTAAAGTTGAATAAGATAATTTTATTAATGCACAGAAAAGGTTTGTTATTCAGTAGCATATAGTGTACTTTCTAAAACAGAAATACTAGAATATATTTTACTCACTCTAAGGTCCAAGCAACATGGCACTTAATAAAAATATGTATATAAATAGAATAATAGAATTTCATTTTAAAATTTCAACTAACAGGGTAGTCCTTACTAATACCTAATTTTCTCTTATCTAGCCAAGCCCTCAGCCTTTAACAGAAAGTACATTGAGAAGTCGGACAGTCTTACCAAATGCTACTGCACAGGCAAATGCAGTGCAACACTGTGGTAAGATAAGGACTTTTGAATATTGTACAGTAAAAACAGTATTTGTAATCACCTTCACCTTTCTCTAATTTTTTCTGTACAGAATAAATTAGTACGACTGAGACAATAGCCTCTAGCTATTATATTCACAGTAATTTATGTATATGTCAGTTCACTAAATTTTAAAAAATAAATAAACTCATTGTTTGAAGAAAAAAAATATCTGGTCATTACAAAAAATGCACCAAGGATTAGTTTTATTTATATCAAGCCAGAGCTATGTTTATGGGTTTGATTATGCTATTTTAATACTTATATTATAAAATGTTCATGTAACATTTTGAAATATGGATCTTAGTTAAGGAAATTAGTCCAGTTGTAAGTAAGTCTAGAAAACAAGGATAATTTGACAACACTGAAAGATTTTAAGCTAAGAAAGCTCTCAGGTATCAAAAGTGAACTCTTGCCTTATGAAAGTCTACATTATCAACAGGGACAGTCATTCCTCTCAAACTTGGAAGGTGGCCACAACTTGTACTTGAAGTATGAAGTATTCTAAAATCACTTTGGTTTATTTCCAGTTATTACTATCAGTAACATACAAAGAAATAAGCAACTAATGCTGTTACTGTACCAGTGAAAAATTAGTTTTCGCTATCAGAGACCTGCAAAACATTTGCAGTCATGTTAGTATCTTTATTGCAACAGTACCAGTGCACACACATGTGCACTTAGATAGTAAGATGCGAAAGCATTTCAGGACGGACAGAACTGAGTATTATTGTATTATATTATTAAGTACTTGGAACTTATTATTTATATATATATATATATATATATATATAGGTAGTAACTTAACTTAACTTTTGGTGTTACAGGCTGTTTCTCAATACACTTGTAAATAGTATGAATGTTTGATAAGTGAGATTTTGTAAACAAGATGACAGTGGAAGAAAATCTTTTAAACTTTAAATGGGCAAAAGGAGCTAGAAAAATATATTCTTGTTATTACATAACAAATTTTATTAGCTCTATGTTAAAATATATCATAAAAATATAAAGGCAAAATATCTGGTATAAGGGTAAGAAATTATGTGACATACACTCAGTTGTATGCATTTTCTTGACTTCAGCAATAACTTGTATTTCTCTAACTTTAGGCTTGCCAGTTGAGAATGAGTCAGCTGTGAAAATAGTGAAAAATAAAGCAGACAAAAGTTTCACTGTTTGCAATAAGTCTGCTACCCCTAATGCTACCTTAACACCTGCTTCTCCAGCTCCTTCATCAGACTCAAATGCATCTACTGCAACAACTATAGTTACATCTGCCACTACCACCACTCACAGTAAAGGAACCAAGCGATCACATTCAAGGTAATATTGTTTTTTGTTTTTCATGTATATGTTAAATTTCTAAAGCTAACATCAAAATTTGCCCTCACAATTTTGCCAATTTGTGTTAGGAAAGTTATTGTCATATTAAATACAGCTGATTTTCAATGACAGAGTATTGGAAATGCAATCAAATTTGGATGGCAGATTTGAAATATTGACATAAATTATTCATAACTCTTTCAGCATGGGTTCAGTCCCTAGGACCAACCTCATAACCATTTTGTGCTTGTTATAGTTTTCATGCTA